CCAATCTTTGTCCAAATATTGTAGTATAAAAATCAACTTTTAGCCCAGCAAATACAATATCAATTAGAACCGTGACACAGTTATTTCTTCTTCTCCTGAGTTCAGCAAGCTTCTATTATTAGACTCACACGTGGTCACAAACAAAACAACAGTCACAGAGTCTCAAACTGTCCAGTAGATTGTCCTTGGAGCTCGTCTTGTGATCTTCATTAACCCCTTAATGCTCCTTAGTCCAGTTGGCCACGTCAGCTCCTTCTCCCGAAAACCACCAGATTCTATTATTTATAGTTCACAAAGTCCAGAGAAGGCAAAGAGTAACGTATCCCAGCCACACTGCATCCACCGAAGTCTCTTAAATCCAGTCAGACGGTGTTGCTGTCTGGGATTCTTCTCCAGAAACATAAGATTTATTTAAAATAATTCCATACCGTCCTTCAAAAAAAATCCCAGATTGATTTTAATAAGTTTAATATGTTGGGCTATTCAGAAGTCACAAAGAAGCAAGACAGTTGCTGGTTTAAGTTATCATAGAATCACAGAATAATGAAGTTTGAAGAGGCCTATAAAGCCATTGACTCCAACCCCCTGCTCTGTGCAGGAATACAAATGAAAGGATATCTACCAGGTGGTTGTCTGAATTTCTCTTATTGCTTCCAGTGTTGGAGCCCTCATCACCTCCCAAGGTAATTGGTTCCATTGTTATATTGCTCTGACAGTTAAAAATGTTTTTCCTGATATTCAGCCTAAATCTGGCTTCTAGTAACATGAGCCCATTATTATGTGTCCTGCACTCTGATCAAGAACAAAGTCTGCCCCTCCTCTGTATGACAACATTTCAAATATTTGGAAAGTGCTATCCTATCACCCCTCAGTCTTCTTTTCTCAAGGCTAAACATGACCAATTCTTTCAGCCTTTTTTCACAGGGCTTGGTTTCCAGCCCCGATCATCCTTGTTGCCCTCCTCTAAACTTGTTCGTTTGTTGGCATTCTTCGTTAAGTGTGGTGTTCAGAACTGGACACAAGACTCAAGGTGAGGCCTAACCAGTGCTGAACAAAGGGGGAGTAGCACCTTGCGGGATTTGGAGACTATAATTCTGTTAATGCATTCTAAAATCATATTTGCCTTTTTTCCAAGCACATAGCACTGTTGGCTCATATTCAGCTTTTAATCAACAACGATTCCGAGATCTCTTTCACTTGTAGTATTATTGATATTTAGAGGATATGTTATAGATAGAAAGGGAAGTTTTTTGTATGTAGAATGGAAGGGTGTCATGTTACCCTTTACTTCAGAAATCAAAGGCCCTGTTTATATTTGCATACTTAGAAAGGTATGCTGGTACTTACTGTACACTTTACATTCTCTATAGAAGAAGGATGACATCCTTAGCTTATGCTGACCCCTCCATTTGCTTGGACAGGCAGGATACTTCAAATCATCTGGAGCAACCTCTAGCAAGTAGAGATAATCCAGGCTCTGCAATCTGTACTTCATGAAGATGATGAAAAAGTGCCAGTCAAGGGGAAAAAAGCAGACCTACCAAATATCTTGTGGAAAAAGATAACTAGTAGGAAAGCACAGAATAAAACAGCAGAGAACAAACTCTGCTCTCAAATAATTTCCTGCCTTTTTTACTACAGGTTGACAGGTCAATGAAAGCCTTGGTCCACCTAGCCAGATTGATTTTATGCACCTTCTTGCCCAAAAAAACAAAAAAATTGATCTTCAAAAGTAATTTGTTCTTTTTAGATAAATTTTATGCTCTCTCCCGATGTCTAATTTATGCCACTCATTTTCCAAGGACTTAGCTAGGTTAGGGAAGATGGAAGGCAAAACGGAAGAGATCCAGTCTTAACACTACTGAGTTCCTAAGAATAATATACAACTCTGGGCACACTAAAAGAAATCTCAGTTTGGAAACTCTGCAAGCTGATATAATTAGTCTGGGACAATATTTTCTATTATAGATGTTTTAAGAATACCTTTCTAATAAGTTCAAACAAAGGCTTAATGAGACCTTATAACATGGTACAGACGTTGCAAGACGGAAATCTGTGTACTGTACAGTAAGTGTACTTTAGGTTGTCTCAATTTAGGAATCCCCTTTGTAAATCTTTTAAATTCAGAGGTTAAGGCCTGCAAACTATACTTAGATAAGCCTGAAGACAAGGCTGCTACCTGCATTTTTAAGGTGTTAGTGATTAATACCTTGTTGACCCCCTCCTGAAAGAAAGCCAGAAGCTTTGTAAGTCCATTTCCTTTTTCTTGTGCATATCTTTTGAAGGCCATCTGAGACACTTCATAGATTCTATTAAGCAGGAATCTCTACAAGAGGAAATTATGCTGTGACTGCATCTGAATAATCATAGAGAATTCGAACATGATGAAATATAGTCTAACTATTTTTTAAAAAAATTAAGCAATGAAAGCAAATCGTTCGACTAGATAGGCGGGGTATAAATGCAATAAATAAATAAATAAATAAATAATTTTTAAAAAGACAAAAAGGGAGGTGCTAAAGAGAGGTAAAATAATGGAGAAAAAATGATTTACAAGCAGCAGTGAGAAAGAGCTGAGGTTAGCTGTCAAGTGGGAGAGCATGTGTTAAGGTGGGCATAACCAGATTTTTCCCTAGGCTCTAAAAGATTCAGATGATATCTGTGCATGCACAGAGAAGCCCATTGGTATCAATCACAGAGACCATGAAGAAGAGGAAGAGACAAAAGGGGTGGCAGTGAGGTAAGAACTGGAATGACAAACGGACAGGTTACTTACCTGTAAACATGGTTCTTCAAGTGGATACACACTGATGGGTTTACAGCGCCTGCGCTGGTCCTCTCGGAATTTTTCAGAGCTATAGGGAAAAAGTAACAGAGTTTAGGTTGCCCTGTATTGCGCACGCTCCGCCCGCCAAAGCCCCAGTTCCATGTGCCCGCACATAGGGAGAGTTGGAACTCTTTCCGAAGTGACGGACACGTGGGGAGGCCGGGCGGGTCGTGTGTATTCATAGATAATCCACTTGAAGAACCATGTTTACAGGTACGTAACCTGTCCTTCTTCAACATGGTTATCTATGAATCCACACTGATGGGTGACTAGCAAGCTTACTCACAGGATGGTGGGCCGTCACTGCAGCACTGAAGTAAGCACCGCTCTCCCGAACCTGGTCTCATTCTTGGCCCTTAGGTCCAGTCTGTAATGCGTGATGAAGGTAGACACATTGGACCAGGTTGCTGCTCTGCAGATGTCAGGGATGTCAACCCCTCGCAGCAGGGCCGTAGATGTGGCAACAGCTCTGGTAGAGAGCACGAAGTCCTTCAGGGAGAGGCTTTTCGTAGGCCAGGGAAATGGGGGAATTCGTAGGCCAGGGAAATGGGGAAAACCAGCCACCTGGACAGGGTAGATGATGAGGCAGCAGACCCTCTATGTTGACCGTAGAAACATAAAAAGAGTCTTTGGACCTTCCTAAAGTCCTTGGTCCTTGTAACATAAAAGGACAATGCACGTCGAACATCCAAACAATGGAGCATGCGCTCAACTTCTGAAGTAGGATTAGGAAAGAGTGTTGGTAACAACAATG